TGATCTGAAAGTCCGAGTCCCCAGTAAGAAGAGCAGAAACTCTGGCTTGGGGTGCCCACTGCCTCCTCTCCCTCATTTTCCATGATGGGGATGGAAATGGTATGCAACACTCAGGATCTTCTACGAATGTCAGTCCTTTGGGATTCGCCAACCATCTCATTGCGTGCTCAGCACCAGGAAGTGCTCTCCTCCCCCAGCCTCCACATGGGAACCTCAAGGTGAGGAAGGCTCAGTGAGGGGCACAGTCACCCAACTAACAAGGCAGAAGCCCTTCCCTTCACAACCATTGATTCACAGCCCTCAGCAACAACCCCAAACAAAACCTCCCGCCAGAGAGTCCATTCCAACTCACAAAGACCCTATGGGGCAGAGTAGGGCTGTCCCCTCTGTTTTCCAAGACTGTACATTTTTAGGGAAGCAGACAGCTTCATCTTTTTCCTGTGGAGGAGCAGCTGGATTTGAACCTCCAAGCTTGTGGTGAACAGTCCAACACATAACCCATAGCACCACCATGGCTTCTTCCCTACACCACCACACATAGATTGTTCCTCGCAGATTCTTTCAAAAAGCCAGTAAGAAAGCATCCTTTTCTCTTACCCAGCCCCAAGCTCTGCTAGGAATTGACCATGTGACCTTGGGGAACTTTCTTGGCCTTTGGGGGCTCAATTATTTGACTCATGGCGGCTCCATATGTCCCAGTAAAGGGTCTCTGAGACTGTAACCTTTCCAGGAACACACTGCCAGGTCTTTCTCCTATGAAGCGGTTGTCTGAAGACCCACAACAAACACAGCAGGGCAGGGAAGAACACCACGCACTTCTTCTGCTTCTTTTCCAGCTCATGGTTTCGGCTTTGTTGGTTCTCGAGCAGGACACGGGTGTCCTCCAGGTCACAGGTCAGATGGTGGCACTTCCTCTTTAGCTGGTGAACCATCTTCTTGGCTCCTTCATAAGCACTCTGCAGTTCCCCGAGCTGTGGAAGCAACAGAATGAATTAACCCCCTTCTGTTGGAGCTAAATGAGGAGTCCTGATGGTATAGTGGGTTACATAGTTGAGCTGTTTACCCTAAGATCAATGATTCAAAACCACCAACCACCCTGTGGAAGAAAGATGAGGTTGTCTGCTCCGGTAAAGATTAAAGTCTTAGAAACCCACCGGGGCAGTTCTACTCTGTCTATGAGTTGGAATTGACTTGATGCTTTTGTGGTTTGTTTGGAAGTGAACAAGGTACCTTGGTGGCACAAAGAGTAAAGTTCGGTGGTTCAAATCCACCTGCTGCTCTGTGTAAGGAAAAGGAGGCTAGCTGCTCCCATAAAGACCAACAGTCTCAGAGTCCCTATATAGGGCCACTTGGAGTCAGAATCAACTCAGTGGTAGTGAGTGGGCAGGTCAGCGCTGGACAGGGCTTCAAACTTTATATTTCCATCAACTTCCATTTCCAAGGTGGCCACACTGGAAAGAGAACAGTCACTGGGGCCCACGGGGTCTTGTCTTGGTCACTTTCTATGCATGTCACCTGGAGAAAATGGCTTCTCTGGGCCTCAGTTTTCTCAGGGCTAAGATGGGGACAACCCCATCCCTCTTGGTTCATTGATGTCCAGTTGGCCCCCCACTGGAGCAAGCCCATGTGTTATAGCCTAGAATAACTCCACTGGAGTTTCTTACCTGTGACCTTAATGAGTGCCGCTCACCAAGACTTTTCTCCCTGGGACCCCTAGGTGGGTCCAAACATCCACCCTTTTGGTTAACAGCCAACCACCTGTGCCTCCCAGGCCAAAGTCCATTTCCTGGAATTGTTCCTCTTCTGACCTTGAGTCTCCTTCTGCCAAAATGCTCACAGACACATTTTATGTCAGGCCTCAACTCATGAGCATCATGGCCTGTCACTAACATCCCCATCAGCCAGCATACTCTAGGCACCTATGTGAGGATTATCTGGGGAGCAAGGAGTCTTGGTGGTACAGAGGGTAAACACTGGACTGATGACTTAAAGGGCAGCAGTTAGAACCCACCAACCACTTGGTAGGAGAAAGATAAGACAGTCTGTTCCTGTAAAGATCACCAGCCTCAGGAACCCCATGGGGCAGCTATACTCTGTGCCTGTATAGCTGTAAGAGGCCCTGTAAGGCAGACCTGATGCCATGGCACCTGACAACCAACAATAGCTTCATGGTAGCCACGGCTGTTGAGTTGTACATAGGGAGCCTATGTACAACAGAAGGAAACACCACTCGGTCCTGCACCCTCCTCACAATTATTGCTAAGTTTGAGCCCATTCCTGCAGCCATTGTGTACATCTGCCTTTGTTTTTGTTTTTGTTTTTAAGGAATGGAAAGCGCTCTTTGATACAAGCATGCGAAGGTTCCCAATACGTACTGTGCGTGTGAAAGCAATGCTCATTTCGTCATGACACTACCTACTCAATGGCTTTTGACATCTTCTCGAATCAAGCATTGCATTGCACACTCCGGTGGTCCTCAGAACATCCTCCTGAGGAGAAAAGAGCCGGGCCAAAGGAGATGTCGCCGTGAAGATGCCATCAGGTTGCCAAGCTGGCCAAGCCCCCAGGACATCCAGGGGATGAGTAACCAAGCTAGCCTCTCTCCTTTTCAAGGACAAAGAGTAAAATATTTTACACGGTAGCCAAAAACACGTTCACTTACTCTGACAGTAAAGAACGCAGAATCTTCATGGTGAAAAGCTCAGGAAGATTCTTTGCTGTTTTAACTCTTTTATTTTGTCAATCCATCTTGTTGAGGGTTTTCCTCTTCTCTCACTGACCCTCTACTTTTGCAATCTGCTGCACAAAACCACTTTGAAGTGTTAAAGGGCCAAGAGGTCACTTGGAGGACTAAAATGCACCTGACCTAAGCCTTGGTATTTTCAATGACCTTCTGTGCATATGAAAGCAGCGCAGTGAACTAAGTAGATCTCAGAGGAATAGATGCAGTTGGGTTACGGTGTTGGCAAAGAATATAAAAAGGTTGGATGCCAGGAGAAAAAACAAATTGTCTTGGAAGAAGTACAGGCAGAGTGCTCCTCAGAAGTGTGGATGGCGAGACTAAGTCTCACATATTTGGGGCACATCCTCAGAAGGGACCGGATGATGGAGAAGGACATCATGCTTGGTAAAGGAGATGGTCAGCAAAAGTGAAGATCTTCAACAAGACGGATTGACACCGAGGCTCTGTGGGCTCAGCCCTAAACACCATGGTAAGGACAAAGCGGGGTGGGGCGGCGCTCCCCTCTATTGTACATGGGTCTCACTGGGTCAGAACTGGCTCGACAGCACCTCACAATAACAACTACGTCCTCACCCATGATGCCCTTCTCCAGGGACTGCTCCGTTCATAAACAGACAAAATGGCATTCCCAGGAAATCTTCCCAGGTGGCCCTCCTCCATTCAGAGACAGACTGGGCTGCTTACTAGCTGCTCAAGGCATACTGGCTGCGCTGAATTCCACTGGTGTGAGCACAGTCTTAAACAAACCACAGAGCAAGGCCCATTGCATCTTCCTCCAGGAGACACCCTCCCAAATGCCCTACTTTGGAGCTGGGAAAGAGCAGGAGTCAGCACACTCACTCTGAAGAAATGGCCTCATTAAGGGATCGCTTTAAATAAGCAAAACATGGAGTTAATGAAGCCTGAAATTCTAAATTCAGTATTTGGAGGCAAATGGGATGTTTTCTGATATTCTACCACTCACAAAGTTTGCCTTTTATTACTTTTTAATGTAGCCTTAATACCACCCTCCCAATTCATTGGGGGAGCTGACCTGACTTTATAATTTGTCATTAAAGAGCTGGGCTGCTTCGCTGCGGCACTCATCCTGTGTGTAGCTACAGCTCAGATGTCCTGAGAACAAGCGACTGCCTGTCTTGGAAACAACCACGACATCCAGGAGGGCACTGGGTCTATAGTCCATGGTTTGTAAGATCCCCTGGATCTCAGCCTCGCCCATCTACTAGATGATCACAAGACACCAGAAATCTTGGGATCGGCATCCTTAGGTGGTACACAGGGCCGGTAGCTGACAGGCCTGAGGCTTCAACCCACCCCGAGGTGCCACAGAAAAAAGGGCTGGTGATGAAATTTTTGAAAAATCAGCTGTTGAATGCCCCACGGAGTCCAGTTCCACTCTGGTGCATGAGTTGCTAGGAGCTGAGGTCCATTTGACAACAAATGCTTTAGAGGGCTTCAGAGAAAGGCAGCGAATTCAGCTTCCACCTTCATGGCATTTCTTCTCATGCAGGAAGCCAATGAGAAAGTAGGTATGTGCCACATAACACAGTCAGACCTATTGTGGGGCAACAATTTAGGGGCAACCAAGCCAATGTGTATCAGAGATGGTTTCTAGGAGGAATGGCACTTACGTTTAGATCTTAAATCTACGGTGCAGCTACTGGTCTCCCTCTGTCCAGAGGGGAGAAGAGTGATGAAAATTGAAGACACGTGGAAACAATTGGTCTGATGGGCTCATGGGCCATGTAACCATCAGTCTCCATGACCTTGAGACCAGAAGAACTAGATGGTGCCCCGTGACTCCAACCCACCCCCACCCACGCAACCTCTGGTGGCCCTTAAGGTATCAAAATAATCCCATCCCAGTAATCAACCATATAAAATTTCAGGGCAGCATTTGTCCAAGGACAAAGTACAATAGGGTTAAGAATGAAAGACAGAAATGGAAATAGGAAACAGGGAGGAAATGGGATGGGGGAGCAATATAGTGATGGCCATCAGATACATGAAACTTAAGGCATCTGAATTATTAGGTGAAAAAAAGATGGTCTGTCTTGTAATCCTACACCCAATTCACAATGAATTGTTGCTTGTTTTAAAGAAAAGTTTGAGCTATCTGGAGGACAATAGGAAAGAACAAGGAACCACTGAGAGGAACAGAAAGTTATGTGTGATGGAGCATGGTTCAAGTGCAAGTGGGTGCCTGAAGACAAAGCAAGGGCAGGTGAAGAGGTCCAACCCTCATGATACCCACCTAGGGAGGCTCCGTAGGATCCAATTATACAAGGAGATTTCAAAAGTTTCATGGAGGAATGGAATTAGAGACCATGGGAATTTTCCACCGATGTCCTGAAGTCCCCTCGCAGTTAGAATGTCTCACTGCTCTGTGTGAGTAGTGGATGGAATCCACTGGACTGCAAACCACAAGCCGCAAACTCACCACCTGCTTCTCTGGAGAAAGCAAAAACCATTCCGGAATATTGCGCAGACTCCAAAATCTGGGGGAGCAGTGCTACTCTGTCCTAGAGGGTCACCATGAGTCAGAATCGATTAGACAGCAGGAGGCCTTTGAAATGTCACTTTAAAGAAGGAAGGAGCATGCTGGGCTATCCCGAATACAGAGCATACATCGTCAGCAAAGGAATGGTCGCTGCTGACGGGGGAAAGAGGTGATGAGCAGTTGTTAGATCCAGAACCGTCTCTGAGGATGCCCCTCATCACGAAGCAAATCCCAGCGCACAGTGATCCCATGGGTGCAGAGCAGAACTGGGGTTCCCAGTCTCACGGAACTATGAGCTTTCATCTGAGGAGCTTCCGGATGGGGGCCAAACACCAAATGAACCACTCCCTGTTCACTGTTAAGTGCTCAACCCTTGGCACCACGGAGAGACTGCCCACAGAGAGTGAAAAGACAAGAAGAAGCAACCAAACCTATCTCCATCAAGTCAATTCTGACTCACAGTGACCCTACTGGACAGAGGAGAATTGCCCCAGGGGTTTCTGAGGCTGGACATCTTCACAAGAGCAGAAAGCTGCCTCTTTTTTCCAAGGAGCAGTTGCTGGGCTCAAACTGCAGTCCTGTGGGTAGAAGCCCAACACATAACTTACTACATTATGAGGGCCTCTCCCTAAGGATTAAGGAAAAATACACGAAGTTTGCTGTCAGCAAGTCCAATCTGACTCTCAATGACCCTGTAAGGCAATGTAGAATTGCCCCTGTGGGTTTGCAAGACTATACCTCTTGACAAGAATAGAAAGCCTCATCTTCCTCACTTGGAGTAAGCTAGTGGTTTCAAACTGCTGACTTTGGGGTTAGCAGCCCAACACATAACCACCATGCCACCAGAGGCTTTAATATGAATTCCCAGACAAGGACAGAAGGCAAGGTTTCAGGTCCAGGGAGACAGAGTGCATTCAAATGAAGATCTTTGCATCGAGTCAGGATCCTCAAAGAGCTGCATCTTGGTTGCAGAGGGGACAAGAAAAGAGCCGCCCTTGGACCCAACGGATGATGAGAAGGCTTGTTGTAGTCTGGCTCTGGGTGAGGGGCAAAGGCCTCCCCAAAGAAACCGGAAGGCCCTATATGCACCTCATATGGATTGTGAGATGAAGTAGACGCTTGTCACATGTTTCAGGAAAGTCAAACTGAGACCGTCAGATCCTCTTAGGGGCCATAGCAGAAGCAAGTGCAAAAGAGTCTTTCTGCAGGGCTACCTACCCTCTAACAAAGGACTTCCAATGAGATCGAGAAAACCTGACAAACATCAATTCATGATTCAAATAGTCTTCAGGATAGATTACAACTTGATACAAAGAAAACCATAAACCTCACCACTGGACCAATAACACTGGGATATACAGAGAAAAGACTAATAGTGCCACGTGATTTCACCTGGCTTGGATCTACCACCAATGCTCATGGAAGCAGCAGCTGAGAAATCAAAGCATGTCTTACTTTCATTGGGCACATCTGCTACAAAGGGCCTCTAGAGATACATTGATGAATTTGAATTATGGTGTTGGCAAAGAATATGGAATAGACAGAGCATATTATAGACTGCCTGAAGAACAAAGAAAGTTTCCTTGGGAAGAAGTATAGCCAGAATGCTACTTAGAAGTGAGGATGGCAAGCCTTTTTCTTATGTACTTTGGGCATGTTAAAAGGGGAGACCAGTCCCTGGAGAAGGACACCATGCTTCATAAAGTAGAGGGGCAACGGAAAAACAGAAGGCCCTCAACGAGATGGCCTGACGCAGTGGCTACAACAATGGGCTCCAACATAACAATTGTGAGGATGGCATAGGACCAGGTAGTACTTTGTTCTGTTGTGTATGGGGACCTGATGAGTTGAAACAGACTTGATGGCACCCAACAATAACCAACACCCAAAGTTCACCATGAGACTCAGTAGGAAGAAGAAAGAAATTATAGCGTGAAGATGACCTCGAGGACTAGCGTGGGCTTGGAGCGGTCACTGGAGATGAGTTTAGAATCAGAGTTCCCAGACCACACAAGGAAGCAGTCCACCTACTGAGTCTGCACTCCTGGCACTAATCCAACTAGCTGAAGGAGGCTCCGCGAGATCCCATGGGCTGCAGAGGAAGAAGCCAGGAGGGCAGTTTGGAGGTGATCACTTGAGTCTAGATGGTGGAGGGAGAGAACTAGAACCATGATCATGGGAATGGAGAAACGGTGACCGTTTTCCCAACATTTTTACAATCACTTTTATGGTGAGAGACCTGAGACCCAAGAGGTAATGTAATTACCACAAGATCCAATTAGAAATTGAGTTGGAACTCAGAAATTCTGAGTTTGTAATATTCAATGAATAATCTTCATCCTACAGCATCGTTCCGTCCACCCACCACCAGCTCCGCCAGAAGACCCCAAAGAAAAATTAGCAAGCAAGCCCAACCCCAATGCCACTGACTTGATTCCCACTCATAGCAACCCCACAGCTCTGGGTTGGACTTTCCCACGGAATTTCTGAGGCTATGAATCTTTACCGGTGCAGACAGTTTCATCTTTCTCCAGAGGAGCTGTTGGTGGGTTTGAACCACTGACCTGGTGAACAACCCAAGATTAGTGCAGAGCACCACCAGGTAGAAGATCCACATGTTGGGAATAAAAGACCTTCCAGACTCTACAATGACCAGTGTGTAACAATGATGAACGCTAGAAATGGCTGCCACCCTTCTTTTCCCTCTCAGGCTTGGTCAGCCCCATGAGCACACCCAGTGGATGTGAGCAGGTGCTGCTCCCTGGCTCCCCTGGGCCCAGGTGTCCCACCCTTCTTACCTTCTGCTCCAGTTCGTTCCTGGATGTCATCTCTGAGTCCAGCCTGCCCTCACATTGCTGTAGACGCTTTCTGAGGAATTGGTTTTCCATCTTTGCACAGTCTAAGCGCATTTGCCATTCACCGGCTGTTGAAGAGAGTCAGAGAGACTAGGAGGGGAGGCTAGGTGTGAGGAAGGGAGCATGGAGGGTGGTGCCCCTCCACGTCCTTAGCCCTTTGCTGGCATTTCTCACTATTCATGCAGCTTCTGAAGCTAGACCTTGGACTTCAGGTAAGAAATCATGTCTTAAGTCCAAGCTTTAAAAATATAGCTACAGCTTGATGTAATTGATTTATGGATTGTTATACTACCTGTAAGAGCCCACAATAAAATGAATTTTTTAAAAATACAGCTGCCACTATCAATAGCTCTGAAAGTCCTGGATAGAGTAGGAGAAAAATGTAGAACAAAACTCAAAATCATAAAAAAATAAAATAAAAACAGCTTGCTAGCTGGGTAAAGACATAGAACCCCCGGGACTATAGCTCCCAGAGACCATTCATGACTGTTTTCAGACAATAATGCCTATATGGGGAACAATAACAGATCTATAAGGGAGGTATGTATGCCTTAAATCAATCAACCACTGACAATCCAGAGAGCAGCACTTGTCCAAGCACAAAATCCAGAAGACAGGCAAGAAGGAGGGATGGAATTGCAACCTATCAAAAATCTGGGACCCAGCAAAATCAGTACTCAGGGCAATTTATAGCAATAAATGCACAGATAAAAAAGGAAGAAAAAAATTAAACATTAAGATATAAACTACAACAATTGGAACAAAATCAGCAAATCAAACCATCAGACACTAAAGAAAAGAAATAATAGAAATTAGAACATAAATAAATGAATCCAAAAGTTAAATATATGTATATATTCAACAAGACAAGATGTTGGGTGTTTTTTAAAAGACTAGCAAAATTGACAAACCGCTGGCAAAACTAACAAAGGAAAAGAAAAAGAAAAGGCAAATATTATGAATAAGAAATGAAATGGGTGACATTACAACAGAACTAACTAAAATTTTTTTAATAATCACATAATATTGTTAAGAATTGCTTTCCAACAAATTTGGAAATCTAGAAAAAAAATGGATAAATTTCTAGAAATGCATTACCTACCTAAATTAACACAGACTGATCTGGAAAACAATAAAAAAATCTGTCATAAAAATGCTCCCAAAATAGACAAGTGGGATATACTGAAGATAAGTCACCTGTGTACATTGAAAGAATTCAACAAGAGAGTAATGAGAGACCCAACCAACTGGGAAAACATCTTAGCAATGACGCATCAGACAAAGGCCTTATTACTAAAATCTATAATACTTTGCAAGCTTACAATAAGAGAAAAACTAACTGCCCACTGAAGAGGTGGGCAAAGGACCTGAACAGAAGTTTCAAAGTTTGAAATCCGAATGGTCAATAAACATATGAGAAAATGGTCCCGATCATTAGCCATAAGAGAAATGCAAATCAAAACAACTATGAAATACCATCTAACACCCTCAAAGATAGCCCAACTCAAAAAATCAGAAAGCAACAAGTGTTGGAGGGGCTGTGGTGAGATAGGAATTCTCATCCACTGCTGGTGGACCTGTAGGTATGTATGGCCACTATGGAAATTGATCTGGTGATACCTAAAACAGATGGAAATGGACCTACCATATGACCCAGCAATCCCCCTACTGGGCATATACCCAGAAGAGGCAAGAAACAAACCATAGCCAGACATCAGTGCTCCAATGTTCATCACGGCACAGTTCACAATTGCAAGGAGTTGGAAACAACCCAAATTTCTATCAATAGACCAATGGATTAAAAAAACTGGTACATACATACAATGGAGTTCTATGTACCGCTAAAAAGCAGTGATGAATACATGAAGCATATCGTTGCATGGGAACGACTGGAGGAAAATATGCTAAGTGAAGTAAGCCAAATGCAAAAGGATAAATGCAGCATGAGTCCGCTGAGGTAAGTTTATTAAAAAAGATATGCAAAAGGGGCACAGGGTAAAAGCTACTGTATACAAACATTCCAGGTGTGAGGTCCAGTTAGTATGGCAGGGGCCAAACCAAATCCAAGGATACATATGGTAGCCAACTAAAAAGGAGTAGGTGTGGGGGTTGGAAAGGGATTTTTAAAAAGGCAAAAAGGGATAGAAATGTTTAGTGGGAAAGGGGGACCACTTAAATCTGGTGTTTTGGGATGCGAACGCAGCTTGTGCTGGCATGGGAAGGGGATTCAGTGGAGAGGTATGAGGGGCCGGCCCCAATCTCAGCTACGTGGACAACTGCCTCTCCCCCCAGAAGAATTTACTTTAGAGGACGGCACTGAAGCTGCAGCTCAGGGAGAGGGACATGTCTGATCAGAACACACAGAAGCAAATGAATGGGGAGGAAGAGAGAGTGGAGCACATCTTGGCCCACCAAGCCTGGAGAATGATATCCTTGCTGAGAACAGCCAATGCACAGAGTGGACCAAATGGCTGATCCCACTAGGAGAGATGACATCCCTCGCTGACCCATGGCCCTATGGAGTACAACACTGGAAACTCAGTGTCAGGATTGGCCCGGTCTGACCCCAGCACACTGAAGCAAAACACTAAGGGCGTGTGGCAGAGCAGGGAGCTCCCAAGGAGTGCAAAGGACAGACTTTGGGGCCAGAGCATGGTACCCCATCGGACTCTACTGGAGGACACTCTTAGAGGTCAAAATACAGACCTTGATCTACTTACAGGTTTTTCTTTCTTTTTGTGTGTGTAATTAATTTTTTTTAATTGTCATTGGTTTTCTTTCTTGTTGTCATCGTTGTGTTCTATTTTGTTGCTTTGCCTTATTTTTTTGTGCATATTATTATCTCTGCAGGTCTATCTAGATAAGATAGGCTGGTTGAACAATCTGGAGGAGAAAACAACAGGACCAATGGTTCCAGGGGGACATGGGAGATGAGGAGGTGGGGAAAGGAGGTGGTGTTGACCAACTCTGGGACAAGGGAACAACAAGTGATCCAAAAGCAGTGGCAAGGAGAGGCCTTGTAGGGATTCAGCAATGGGAATGTAATGGAGAGAAATTACTGAAACACAAATGAAGGGTCAGCATGATAGTGGGACAAGAGGAAAGTAAAAGGAAATAGAGGAAAGAACTAGGAGGCAAAGGGCATTTATAGAGGTCTAAATA